CGTATTTGTTTATCAAGCAAACAAATGTTCAATAATGACTTCAAATTGGTCACAACTGATGAACATGCAAACATTAATGTTAGATTAAGGAAACCATAATATATGTTTAACACAAATGAACTTCTCTACTCTGATTGCAGTAAGAACGGAAACTACGTCCATTCAGATATAACAAGGGGCGGTGGGGTAGCCTTGTGTTTAAAGCGTTCGTTCATCCTGCTGAAGACCTGGGTTCGATATCCCACATTGGCACAATGTGTGAAGCCCATTTCTGATGTCCCCCGCTGATATTGCTGGAATATTGCTCAAAGCGGCGTAAAACCACAATCACTCACTCACTCACTCACACATACCACATCCTAGGATGCAACTTGTGTCGAGAAATGAAAGAAATGATTACCATAACATGCAACATACATCAGTGAATGAGTGAGTGAGTGAGTTTTAGTTTCAACCCACTTTCAACAGTATTCCAGTCATATCACGGTGTGTCAGCTTGATGAAGATGGAAAGCCTGAAGTAATACCAGTCTCAGATGTGTACCACTTTGGTGAAACACACGAGCGTGGAGGTGACAACCTACGAACGTAATTCAGACAAACAGCAACAAAACATCAAGTAAGATCACCTTGGCCTATATTTGTAACCAGTACACTGGTGCTATTTGATTGATGCCTTTAAAGAGGGAATGAGTGAGTCTGCCCATGCTGGGGAATCAAACCTGGATCTTTGGTGTGACGAGCAAAACTTTCACTACTTGGCTATCCCTCCAGCCCTTAGCAGCACGAGTTGTTTGATTTGGTTATATAAATATATCATGGACTTGTATAAGATCGAAGTTCATTGGTTAGCCAATTCTCTGTGGATCTCATTAAAATCAGATCTGTTTCTCCGATACGATACCTCTCTGTGTGAACATCTGACAAGCCCTCCAATGACTCAACAGTTGAACTCTCCAATCAGCCAATCAGTGTTGAGGCTTCAAAATTCTCGGTACAAGTGAGCAAATCATTTACAGTAACCTATCTAAAAAAGGTTGGTTGGTTTGTTTGTTGTTTATCACCGCTCTCAGCAATATTCAAGCTTTATGTCGGCGGTCTGTAAATAATCGAGTCTGGACCAGACAATCCAATGATTGAAATCATGAGCATCAATCCACGCAATTGGGATTGATGACATGCTTCAACCAAGTCAGCGAGCCTGACCACCCGATCCCATTAGTCACCTCTAAGACAAGCATAGTCGCCTTATTACAGCAAGCATGGGATGCTGAAGTCTAAAAAAGGACATAAATGGGATGTTCCAAAAGGGAAATAGTAACATAGTGCTACATGATATTTTATACACCTCTTGGTTTCTGGTCTATGGGTCGATGGGATCTACAAAAAAGGTCGCCAAAAAAAGGTTGCATAGTCATGTTCTGTATGGGTTTTCTTTGTTAACATCAACATTACTAATTCAGGATGATAAGGAAATGAAACTGAATTGATTGAGAAAGCTGACATCTGATTGACTCAGTGGCTCCAGAGCACATTTGCACAATGTGATCTTAGCACTAAGATGATCTTAACTCCCATACTTTAACATAGGCTTACAATAGTCTTAGCGCTAAGATCGTTTTGTGCAAGTGGACCCTGGATCCTTCACATCGACTTATCAGTCAAGTTTTGCTCAGGGTTCACCAGGGACACCATCCTACAGAGTCCTTGTCAGATCTTAGCACCAAGAGGTATCATATTGGAGTAAAGGATCTAATGTCAACAAATTAATTTCACTGAGCACAGTCATCTTGGGTTTATGACAACATCAAGATAAACAATGAAACAAGTTATGCTTTTCCCAGTTGGTTTGATTTAAATAGAATAAGATGGACTGGAACCCTGAAGGGTGAAAACAGTGACCTCTCTCTTCCACAGAACAGCCACAAGAATAAAGACATCCCTTCATGTATGTATGTTGTTTTACGCCGCACTCAGCAATATTCCAGCTATATGACGGCGGTCTGTAAATAATCGAGTGTGGACCAGACAATCCAGTGATTGACATCATGACCATCGATCCACGGAATTGGGATTCAATGACATGCATCAACCAAGTGAGCGAGCCTGACCATCAAATCCCGTCAGTCGCCTCTTACGACAAGCATAGTCGCCTTATTACAGCAAGCATGGGTTGCTGAAGACCTATTCTACCCTGGATCTTCACGGGTATCCCTTTATGTAGAGTTTGTCACCCTTGTGTCTTTTCAGGTCAAATACATTAACACAAGTTGACAAAACACCTCCGAGACTTGCCAAGGAGTTTTAAACTTTTATCGGTGAGTGTTGATATGTTTGATTTCAAGGTGAGGTGATATGACATGGGGTTAATGTGGCATTCAATGTTATTGCACATGTGTCCGTGGCAGCTTGTGCTAGTCCGAACTAATGTCGACTTTCTAGTGCTAGCCCACTGAGATACCATGCCGCAATTATAACATGAATACCCCAATCAAACACAGTATCCTTGTTTTACTTTCTTAGTGCTGAGCGCCAGGCAGGGTAACAACAAGTACCATCTACTAATGTCTTTTGGTACGACATGGCTGGGGATCAAACCCCCAACCTTCCGTTCTCCCGCCAGACGCGCAACCACGAGACCACAGAGGCGGTTGTTTGATATCAAAAGACACAAGGGTGGGATTCTCTTGATCATCTAAAATCATTCTAGGTTGTAAACAGTACTACCCAGTATTAACCAGTGTCTTGATTTTAAAGATCTCACAGCTAACCAGAGAGATTAGTGAAGTCATTTGAGTCAGACGTCATGGAAACCGATGATGTCACAATGTAGCGAAAAGCAGTGTGATGCAATTTCTTTTTGGAGACATCGCTTGATCTCACCCAACCAATATCTCCTGTGGAGGCCAGTTTTCGATGATAAATATCTATACCCTCTGTCACTTAAAATAAATCAGGTACCAACATCGCATTTCAGTGGACACTAATGCTACTTTTTAGACAAGACTGCAATTAGATTAGCTACTACCATGTTATCTATGGTAAATGATATAAAAATATTATAAGGACTATTAAAATTGACATGAAAAATAACATTACCAAAATACCCCATATTTACTAACCTCCCCAAAATGGTCTGTTTTTTCATACCCTCCTAAATGCATATCAGAATTGAAGGGCTAGCATCTGTGGTTTGGTGCCCTATTTCGATGTGGGCATAGACACTGTGAAGTGCCTTGAATGAAACTGCTACAAAGACTCCATGTAATTACGGCAAGCTGGACTGCATCATCATAAAGTCTGCTGCACGTTTTGTTTATTTTTTTATTTTCAAAAAATTAAAATAATCCTAATACCCGGTACTTAAAAACAATGCGATCCAATATAGCCCACAGTTACTTCCCTTTACAAGCACACTGCTTTACTGTTATGGTCATGGTGGCAATAGGAGTTTGTATGCTTGTTCATGTAGGGAGGCCCTGTCCCAGGTTGAACAAGCAAACAAACAAAAACACCACCCGCCCGCACTATATTTTCATTCTTTTTCTTTTTTCTGCAATTCTTTTAATCTTTTTTAGCCTAAGGCTGATCTTTTCCCAAGCACAGTCCCAGCTGCAATACTGACACATGTGATAGTCACAGTCCTCACAGTACATTGAGAGTGACATTGGATTTTAGCATCGGTGTTTCCCCTCAGATCAGCTACTGACGACTATGAACATGAGACAATATCATACTCACAGCAGTGAGAACCAAGTTACCTTGGAAACAATTTAAAAGAAAGACTATAATCATCTGTTTTAAATACACACAACAGTGAGTGAGTACGTGAGTTTGGTGTAATGCCAATTTGAAAAGTATTCCAGTCATATCATGGCGTGTCAGCTGAATATGTGGGGGGAAAGCCTGAAGTGATGCAGGTGAAGCCCCTAAGCACAGGTCAAACCTCGAAACATGATCGGTGCGAATCTGGATTTGTACGCACGACCACAGGCACAGCAAAATTGCGGCATTATACAAAACACAACAGATACTGTTTAACTGTTAAACATGTACATATTAATGTAAAGGATGACAAAGACCAAAAAGAGTTCAACTTTTGTTGATGTCCCTGTACCAGAAACACCCCAGTTGACTTTCCAAACTGCAGAATTCGGTTGATCCATGGAAACTAGTCATCCCTGTAATATGCAACAATATAGGTACATAAGATTTATTCAAGCACTTCACTGCATGGGTATATAAATATAACAGTTCTGAAAACAATTCTGGTAGCACTAAGAGAATATTGCACTGAAACTTCATAATCTTGAAAACTAAAATAGAAAATGTAAATACATGCACAGAATTGTATCTCTCAAAGATGTTAACAAATGGTCTTTCATAGTCAATATACATTGCAGGTGAGTGAGTTTGGTTTAACGCTGCTTTGAATAGTTGTATCACGGCGTGTCGGCTTGGGAGGAAAGTCTCAAGTGATGCAGGGACGAAGATGTTCAGGACTTGGGTGAAACGAATGACTAAGGGTATGGTGCTGACAAACACAGAATCACAATCAGGGTGCATCTGGAATTTGAAGTGACAATCATAGGATTCTGGCATTCCTGAGGCAACTGTGCACAGTGGCTGTGGCACCTTAGACTATGACCCTAAACATTGTAAGAGAATGGAAATAACAGAAATTGGGCCAGTGATGATACATACCCTTTGTCATGATCTCAATAGTAGGGCAGCAACTGAATACACCAGTTGAAACTAGACAACTCCTTTCATGACAACAAATTGGACATCTTCCCGAGGCAAGAGAGTTAACTGACTTTAAATGTCCAGTTTCCACCCTTGCCAAACTTGGCTGGAATTCCTGGGCTCGATCATGAAACATGAAAAGGTTTAGAAAATATCTGCTGACAAGGAGTTGGCGGTGTACATGCTTTGCCAATCCTGCAATCGACCGAAATCTGCACGACAGTTCACAAACCAGATTTCGATTTCATTGCGCGATTTTGATTGGACTATGCACAGACTCGTTAGTCTAGCCAAAACGTAACTCCATAATACCAGACTAGTTCGGCAAGGGTGGAAACTAGATTTTTTTAGTCAGTTAACTCTCTTGCCTTGGGAAGATGGAAATTGGACTACATTGTCAATGGCCTAACCAAGACATATTTAGTACACTTGAGTCAATCAAACCAACAATCGCTGGAGAATGTATGTACATATTGCCCAGGCCCAATTTCCATAAAGCAATCGCAAAGATGATCATAACTCCCACACTTTAACATAGACTTACGACAGGGATCATTTTGAGGAACGAGCCCAGAATAAAGCATTTTACAAACAATTCTCTTACTATATTCATATACAGGAGTTTGTCCGGGATTTTAAAGACTGGGGAGAAATATATGAGTCTGTGGCAGGAATATTTGGAAAAAAAAGTATTTTTCGTCAAAATTGAGAATTCTATTTTCTTAAATTCATAGGTATTTTAACATTGCATGCAGGGCAATTAATTTGAACTAAGTATTTAAACTATCTTCGTCAAGTTAATTGGCAATGTTATCAGTGACATACATAATAGTTCTATCGTGCCACTGATTACACGAATTGCTCGTGAACTCTGAGACTGACCATTAAATGTCATGGATTTATCTATAACTGCATAGAAGACAATACTCAGCCCCATGTCTGCAGCAAATATCAGTACAAATACCCAAATTGGAATCATAAATCTCTCAATTCTAGTTATTTCAGTTATAACTAATGTTACGACTTTGTAGAAGTGCCTTGTATTTCACAGATAACATTACCAATAGAGACGAGGAGGCTTGAAAGGTAACTTTGACAATGCAATGTTACGACATCTAATTTAAGAAAATAAGAACTAAGAAAAAACAATTTCAAACAAATTACATTTGTGCTGAGGGCACGTTGTTTAAAGTCCTAACAAATGACACTTACCTGGTATAACTATGAGGCAATAACACACATTATTATCAATATGTTTTGAAATAACCAAGTTCATAAAGATTGCATGTGCATTGGTGCAAATTTCACTTCTTGCGCATCAGTGTATTGTTACAGTCATCCGAACTGAATTGTTGATGTCATTCGAATTTTATGGTCGGAATGACGTTAGACCAGAAATAACGCCATAGCTGAAGATTGTTGATATCATCCGACCAATTGTGGTTTCCTAGGACAGCGGTGGAGATCAGTGTATTTTTCTACAGGGAAGCTCCAAAGGATGAAGAAATAATGAGTAATAAAGAAATGATTAAACTCACATATGTGTCATGCTGATTTCACAAAACTTGTGTAAGAATTCATGTCTTGCCCTCACTCTCGCTCGGGAAGTACAAAAATACTGACACTCAATTAGTACTACACACGTGCTTGAATAATAATCTCCATCACTAAAACATCAACCAGTGAAGATCTGGGTTGGAATAGGTCTTCAGCAACCCATCCTTGCCGTAAGAGTCGACTATGCTTGTCATAAGAGGCAACTAACAGGATTGGGTGGTCTGGCTCGCTGACTTGGTTGGTGCATTTCATCGTATCCCAATTGCTTGGATCGATGCTCATGATATCAATCACTGGATTTCTGGTCCTGACTCAATTATGTACAGATCGCCATCATCATATAGCTGGAATATTGCATTAAACAACAAACAAAACAAAGAAAAACACTACAACATCTATATACTGTTCTCCACAGAGTGAGCCTCCACAGTAAAGGGCACTGTTCGTATAATCTCCGGCATGCTGTCGTCACTATAGCCATGGGCCTTCCTGTAGTGGATCTGCAGACACTGCTTGGTGGTGTAGGCAGTGCCGCAACCCTCATGCTGGCAGGAGAAGGGTTTGATCCCAGAGTGAGTTAATAGATGCACTTTCAGGTTGCTGCCGTCCCGGAAACCCTTCCCGCACCGATCACAGAAAATTGCGAATTCCTGCGTGTGGGTTTTGAGGTGGCGTTCGAGTCCCATCTTACTGTTGAAAACCTTGTTGCACTTCTCACAGGAGAATCGCTCCTCGGAATGGTTCCGTCTTATATGATGTTTCAGCCTCCACGAATTTTTGAATGTCGAGCCGCATACGGAACAGGTGCTTGCTTCGATGTTATCCTGTTTGTGGACAGTCTGTATGTGACGGTTGAGTTGTCTGGCATACAGATAATCCCGTCCACATTGTTCGCATTTGTATGCCCCCATGCCCCCATGTTCATTCTGAGCGTGATTGGCAAGGTGGGCATACTTATGAAACACTTTATGGCAGATTTTACACTTCTCTTTCTTCCGAGTTATTCCTCTAGGGTGGACGATCCTCACATGCTTGATGTAGTTCACGTTGCTGTCAAAGTCCAGATTACACCGATGGCACTTCAACTCATCGTTGGATAACACAAGATGTTGCTGATCGTCCATAAACGCCGCATAAAACTGTATCTCTTCCCCTTTTTTCACATTCCGACGGGTGATGAAATAAATCTCCTTGTCCGTTTGAACATAATACAGATTGCTGTCCACAAACCGTAAAGTTGGCATGAGAAACCGGCACCAATTGCTGTTCATTTCATCCTCCGTCGTCAGAAATGTCTGAACCTCCTCCTCCCCATCTTCATCCCCTTCTTCGTCAGGTCTGACAGGATGGTTCAGACGGGGCTGAATGAACCATATGTACTTGAGATCAGTCAGACACTGGATACTCTCATAGTCAATTTCTTGCCCTATCACAGGACCGAACGCTGTCCCTGCTAGGATCTTCTCCGCTGCATATATGGTATATCCTCTTATGGTCTCGCTGATGCCTAGGTAGAACTGGGAAGGCAGGGAGGCATATGATAAGATGTGGCTGTTGGTGGAAGTCAAATTGTCGGGGATGAAAGCCTTGGGATTTTCTATCACACATAATCCTTTCATATGGTTCAACCTGCACATAGCACATTGAGTGGCCATTTTAATTTTCCTTCCATCATCTTCTAACGGCCTTTTTAGATTTTTCAATTTCTTCAGAACATTTTGAATGGATTTATTTTCAGTTTTCAAACGTTTCAGATTCAAGGTTGATTGTGAGTTTTCATCACTCCTTGAACGGAGCGATTTCTGTTCCTTGAACGATTCCAAACTGTCCTGGTCTGAATCAGGCTCTGCTTGACCGGCCTTCATCGAGTCAACTGTGTCGTCATCGGATACATCTTCCTTAGACTCTTTGTCCTCCTTGTCCTCAAGTCCATCTGTCCCGCAATCTTCTTTTGTCTCTTCTTCCCCATCTTTCTCAACATCATCTTTATCGTTCTCGTTACTTTTATCAACCTCTTCCTCCCTCTTCTCAACATTGTACACCTTATTGGAAGGGTTCTCACTCACTGTTAACTTCATATTCTGAACTGTTGTCAAAACACGAACCCCGTCCTCGGGATTCGTAATCTCGACATCATTCAGCTTCAGCAAATCTTCAACAGCCATCGCGGACAGCAAATCGATTTCATGATTATATGCAATAAGATATATCAAGTTATCCTCCTCCTGGCATAGGTTACGTACAGATATGTTGTCGAAGTTGATTGCGAACATAATAAAAGGCTTGGCGTTGCTGGTACTGGTCACTCCACGACCGCTGACTGGACCACTGAACTCTGCCATGTGACGTGGTGATACATTGTCTGAAAAGTTGTCAAAATGCTGTATTGGTACATCTGTGGGATGGGATGAAAACTGATTCGGCTGTAGAAAAGGTCGAACTGGTGATTCAAATCTGTGATGAGTTGGAGGTAGATGGTTAGTGTAAATCGGATTGAAAGATCCGTACCGCGGTTGTCCCACAGGTTGGAAAGGAGGGGTCAAGGTCATGTCCATTCCATTCCAAGTTCCAAACGAGGCTGGATTGCCTTGGAAACCAGTCCATTGGTCCATTGTCTGCAAATAAATATTATGTAAAAATAAAACTGTTAATCATATTTTATGCAGCATTTTGAAGCAATAGTAATAAAGAAGACAGGACTGAATAGTCAGATACAGATACTTTCTCGTTAATAAGCAAATGTTTGAAAAAGACACCGGTATCTGTTCTGAAGCAATGCAAGACATGATGGAATTTTAAGAATAAAACAGGTTTAATCCTGTTGTCATTGTAAGTATTAGTAGAAGCTTCTGAAATTACTTGTCAAAGTTTAGCACTTTGTTGAAGAAACCCAGTGGATACTGTCACAATTAAAGGGACACAACTCTCGACCAGCATCTTAACCAATGGGCTATGTGTATCATTGTAGTAACTGCATGGATTAGCATTAGCAGAGCTCCAGATAAGCTGCGTATCTGCGTAAAATATGCATAAAAAATGCAGCAATACACAGTAAAATAAAATCCAAGCGTATCAAATACGCAATGAACATTACAGATTCGCTACAAAAATAAAACTTGTGCATATCATCAAAATATTGTGAAGTAACCCTGCGTATTCGATTAGCAAATCAGCAACTTATTCTGAAATCATAAACGGACATTCCGTCAACCTTGCCAAACTCCACGATGACAGTTACATCATGATCATTTGCCATCACACTTTCTAGTGGAAGTATCGTGGTATTTTTGAGTCCTGTAAAGCTCTTGAACCCACACGACACCAGTTTGCAGGGACTAGATGAATAGTGTTTTTAAATATTTTACTTAAATACCCACATGTGTAAAAACTAGTGGGTAACAGAAATTTGAATACCCAGATAGAATTACTGATACCCAATGATTTTAAAATGCATGGGTAAAATACCCACAACACCAAAAGCTTATCTGGAGCTCTGCATTAGTGAAACAACTGAAATGAGATTCAAGTATTTCTTGCTTATCATTTCACCCCGACAACACATGAGTGAAACTACAATATGCCACCATGTCCAATTGAGTTAACTCAATTCATTTAAACCTAATGTTACTAGTATATTAAAGAGGGCATGACTGCTTAAAATCCTGGTTGAAATATAAGCGGAGAGGGTTACAGGCCGGCAAAGCCACATTTCGAAAATAGATAGCCCAAATTGATGTGGCTCTCACGGCAATGGTTATGGTTGCGTGAGTGTATAATGTGGCTCTCGCGGCTATGCTGTCAAAACATGCTTTGTGATTCTAACAGGTTACCGTATATAACAAAACAAGTCTTGTTTTCTCATTTTTTATTCAACAAGGATAACATATTCATCAAAACTTTACATTGTTGAATATGAATAGCATATGAATATCATAATGGATTTAATGTCATTACTGCAGATGAAGGAGGTCGCCCACGTGGTCAGCATATTCCATCTCACTCAGATGTTGGTTCAGGAGCTGGATCTTGAAGGATGCAATACGTGCATCGTTTGCCTTGTACTTCTTTCTTCATGAAGGTTCTGACCACTGGTGAGAGAGTCTCAGGACTGCAACCTCTTTGAGTGACTGCTCTCGCTGAAATAGCTTCACTACCTCGTAGATGTTCGGGTGGCACTTCTTGGCAAGTTTCTTTATCTTGTTGTGCCACCCTTCCAGGTGATAATTGGTACGGTGGCCTTGGTTTTCGAAATGGTTCCAAATCTCTGGCATGAAGGCCCCTCCTTGAACCCAACTGGTTGTCACGTAGTCCATGAAGGCAGTCACTTTAGGGCCAGCAGGAGAGTCAGCAATGGCATCAAGCCACACATCATCCACTTTGTCACGAGGTACTAGAGGGAGGGCAGCAGCTCTTCTCACCAGCTTCTTCACCTCCTTATCTTCCTTATAGTCCATCACCAGACCTTCTTTCTGCACCCTCCTCCAGATACATTGGGTGAAGTGAAAGAAACACCCTCTAACTAATGTCCCAGGAAATGTTCAATGTTCTTGTCTGTAGTGAAGATGAGGAAGTAATTTAAATGTGGGACACTCATTTATAGGTATCGGTAATCGGATTAATTAATTACCCGCTAGAATAGGTGAAATGCTCTCAGCTGAAAATGTGGCTCTACCTGCAATAGCTATTTCTGAAATGTGGCTCTCCCGGCTAGACACCGCGGAGAGAGATATCAGCTTAGAGACTACTGGTGAAAGCCATGCTCTCTAGTGACAAGGCCACTTGAGGACTAAAATCACAATTCACAGACATTGATTGACTTAAGCAATTAAGGCCACTTCTGAGGACAAATCACAGACATTGATTATTTTAATTGGCTGATTCACCAACTAATGAATGAATGTTTGAAATGTAAAATAATGTAAATGTTATAATGCTATGAATAAATTACATGATAAAGTGCATGACAGTATATATGAAAATTTAGTGCTGAATAAATTATATGAAACATATATATTTGTATTTTTTATGGTCTATACTGGTCAAAGCAATTAAACATCTTGCTTCAAAATGAACGGGTCATTCAAATTTGAGTATGGGTTTTCCAAATTTGGGATACAGTCCTCAAAATTTGGGTACGCACAGCAATTTAAAGCATGAATGCTCCAAAACAGGTACTAAACTGATGAGAATTTTAGGTACGGGTTAGCTATTTTAGTTGTGTACAAATCTGCAGTGGAAGGGATCGTCTAGTATCCACCCCACCCCACCCCCACCCCCTGACCCCAACCATACACACTCTTACGATCCTTAGGGTCAGTTGTGAGTTTGGGTATGAGTTAGCTTTCTCACATCATTTATCAAATTGTACCAATGTTAATCAGAGGAAACTCTTGTAAAATCAATAGGACAATGGCTACCACACATGTGCATTAATGTATTCAATTGAGTGTTGATCACTAGGCATACTAGGCAAATGAATACCAATTATTTGTGATAGCGTGGTTCCGTGGTAAAGTGTTGACTAATTAAGCTTTCTCATCAGCCTATCTTGTCTTCAAGCAGACAACGCATGTTTGATCCTCAGCACGGAACTAATTAAATCCGAAAAAGTGCATCCGGTTAAGTGTAGGATTAAATAACTGACAATCACGTCTAAAACACTGGCAATCACAAAATTGCATTGAAAGACCAAGACAGTCGGGCTGCAAAACCGTTTGTTAATAACAATTATCTCAACTCGAAAACTAAAACACATACAACAGTGAGACATTTTCGCTAAACAGACAGATACTGATAACTCGGGTGTAATATAACAAGTTATTAGAATCGAAATGTCAAATATTCCAAGGTCCCTCCAATATTCCATGAACCGTGCTGTACATTAGACAATCACTGTCATGACATCAAACACACCTTTGATCTATGTGACGGGTTTATCTCTGGCAAATGCACTTAATGTTTAAGTCCATGCATAGTCCTACAGTGTCTGTAGTCATTAACATTGTTGACAATTTCATACTTCTGTAACACCTTCATACCGGAAGTGGAATAGCGGAAGTTGATAGGGGGGAGTAATCTGTGTTTGAAAACAAAACATATTAATGTTCAATAAACATCGGTTGTTGTTACACAAAATCGTATTGTTCCAAACAAAGATGGAGTAGTAATCAAATATAAAGACGATTTGTTTCGAAAAAATATCTTGTCGATTATGTAGATTCTCTAGGCCTTGTTCTCATTTTCTCGCAAAAATATTGCCGATGTAGATCTAATGAGATTGAATATAAAAATCTTGCAATATTTTTTTAATGGTAAATATAATTATGTTTTTCGCGGATAACTTCAGTGCTTTGACATGCATTACAGAGAGTTGTTCTAAATCATAAAATTGTTCTTCTCAAAACACAATGAGAGTCAAAGGGGAGTAACTCTAAATACGCTCTCCAAACGTTGCCGGTACGCGCTCCGCCATTTTCAAAAGCGTGAGTAGTGCGGAATCTTTGTTTACAATCCATCGCATCTAGACCTTGTATGTGGAGATAAAGGTTTGAAACATAACGGAGGTAAAGACGGAACATCACCATGTCTATTGGTGTGCCTATTAAAGTTCTGCACGAGGCAGAAGGCCACATCGTAACCTGCGAAACAACCATGGGTGAAGTGTACAGAGGAAAGCTTGTTGAAGCCGAGGACAATATGAATTGCCAAATGGCTAACATCACAGTTACTTACAGAGATGGCCGAGTTGCACAACTAGAAAATGTTTACATCCGTGGAAGCAAGATTCGGTTCCTCATACTTCCAGACATGTTAAAAAATGCCCCAATGTTCAAGAGAGTCCAAGGCAAGGGTGGCGGCGCAGGAAGAGGAAAATCTGCAATTCTTCGTGCACAGGGTATAAACAATGCATTTGTTTCGTTTATTGAATGTATCATTTATAGTCATTATATGAATTTTGCGAAAGTCAATACTCCTTTTCGCAGTGAATGTTAAAAGAATGCGAGAACCCGGTTCTTGCATATCTACTAGGCCTAGTTGCGTGTTGTAGAACTACACACTTTTTAGATAATCATGCCTATGGTGAATCCACTCAATCCAGTTAACCATGATATATACATCAGTGACGTTTTCAAGTTTGTTGCATTATGAACAAGTGAAACAAGAAAACTATGGTGTTGTCCATTGTTGAAATGTTTTGAACTGCAGTCAGGTTTAACACAATTAAGAAGTATAAGACATGTGAAACTACCAAACTATTATATCCTTTTAGTGGACAGGGATGATCTTATTTGCTCCTTTAGATCATTAGGCTGCCATACCACAGGATGTCAATTGGGCCCTCAAAATCAGTAGAGGTGGTGAGGTAGTCTAGTGGTTAAATCGTTTGCTTGTCATGCCAGGACCGTTGTTCAATTTCCCACAGGGGTAAAACGTGTGAAGCACGTTTCTGGTTCCCTGCCATGATGTTGCTGGAATATTGCCAAAAGCTGCATAAGAACATAAAAACTCAATCACTTAAATTTCAATACTTATATGAATGATCATATAAATGTCTGATTTTCTGTATACAGGGATGTAGCTTGGCACTAGGCCAAGTGGTTTATCTGATGTAAATGACTTTCTGAGGGCTAGTAGAATATTAAGGATTTTAGCATGTTCAGGATGGATTTATGTCACTTTCTTTTATTATTATTATTAAATGTTTGTTGCACTCTGGAATGCATACATTTTTAGATATAACACCCCTTGAAACTCTGCAGTCAACAATTAAGTGTGTGTAAAAATGTTTCGGGCTACTATTCCTAACTTGGCATTAATTTATGTCAATTTTGTGTTATTATATGGACTATTATTTCTGAGCTCACTTGACCCAACATATATTTCCTCGACTCAGCTTTGGGTTAGTGGTTAAGATCATAGGCTTGTGTAAATATTCATGATGTTAAATCTAGAATCGAGCTCTGAAATATTATTTCTAAATCCCTGACATAGGGGACAAGGTAAATATGACGACCTTGTCCTGAGAATCTACGAGTTCTATTTTTCTCCACAAATCTAGTTATTTTACATGAACTACTGGTCTGAAATGAGTTTTAGGAAACTAGTGGCATCATTTCCCTGAAGATAGTATACAAAAATTTATGTTTAATATATATGGGTAGGATATGTTAATTACCTGAATGAATCTATTCAATATTGATGAATATAAAAGTGTGATAAATTTGACGTGCATGCAAACAATTCATATCTTTTTCATGGTTTGTGGATTGGCTGTGAACTGATTACATCATGTACATGGTAGCTATATATAAAAATGAGTAAAATCAAAATGAGTTTACTACTCAACTTTTGATAGTTATACTGTGATATTTCATGTTACAAAACTATGTACTATTGTAAGGATGGGTATTGGATGTTTAAAGTGTCGCAATAGTTTGCGATGCACAAGGCCGTATTATCATACGTATCACCATATGTTGTATAATTCTATATTTTGAATTCAGAAGCAATCTGATACATTTAGGTATGAACTGAAATTCATTTATGTTCCAAACAAGATGCTGGTACAACATAACGTTTACTCAATAAATACAAGCCATCTTGGGGCCACGGTTGCATGCCCTGGGGCAGCGAAGGCATTTGCCAAGTATATGACATTAAACTTCTGATAAAAATCACTATTTGAAATCACTCGATATATCTAGCATGAACAAATTATATTGTGATAATATTGTGGAAAGAACACATTTTACGATAATACCAAACGCCGAATACTATTTGTCTGACAGCATCTCCCAACAATAAGTGTTATTCAGTATGCCACCTGGACACAGAATATTCCTGTCAAAAGTTGAGCAGTATATTTGTAATTTGATTTTTGTTTGAGAGGCAAACTTGAATCTACAGGCAACACCACTTGTTAGTTCAAACTAGGTCATTATTACGCTTTTTACTGATATTTAACAGTTACGATTTATTCTGAAATGTTCTAAATTCATACCAGACACCAGCTCTATTTTAACATTGTAAATGACCTGACTCTGGAGCCCTTGCTTTCTCTCTTAACAAATGTCCTCCTTGTACTTAGTTCCCTGGCATATGCATAACACATGATTTTTATGTTGCCCTTGTATATTTCAGCTGCCCGAGGGAGAGGAAGAGCTGGTGGGCGTGGCAATGTGTTCCAGAAAAGACGTTGATCATTCTCTATTTCAAACTGGCCAAGATGGCGATGTGTTGATTTTCTTTAAGACATTACGTGAGGCCATGATCATGGTCAGTTCAATCATCTACACCGAAGATGTGGAAATACAACTGATAATACATCAAGAGAAGTTTACTGCGTTCAGTACAGATATATTTGTCTAATGCAAGCACATGATCATGATACATTGTATATATATGCTTTCTAAATCAAGGTTTTGTCATTTCATCACCACTTCATTAAACTCATTTAATCTATACATGTTGCTGTGTTCTTTTTCTGGAGGTTTTCATTGCATGAGCAACACTTTTGATCCCATTTTTGACTGAGCAATTAGTCCCTCTGGATTTGTACAAGCATCGGGCTAACAAGTGACTGTTTGTATACTCTGACATAAAATAGTCCCCATACTCTCTCTCTTCAGTGTCCGAGTAAGTCCCAAGCCTACAGTGCTCATTGAAAGCTTTGTTGCTTAATGCCACACTCAGCTATATGACAGCGGTCTGTAAATAATAAAGTCTGGACCAGACACCCCAGTGATTGACATCATGAGCATCAATCTACGCAAGTGGGATATTATGACATGCTTGTCGTCAGAGGTGACTAACAGGTTGAGTGGTCAGGCTCACTGACTTGGTTGATGCATGTCATTGTGTCCCAATTGTATGGATCATGCTCATGATGTCAGTCGCTGGATTGTCTTGTCACTAGATTATTTAGAGTGCAGTGTTAAACAAACATATTGAAAGAGATAACTCATAAAGTTTGGGTGGTAACTATGTGTGTTTCAGTTGATTGTGTTATGCTCCTGTGATATTGATGGTTCCATATGTTGCCTAGCACTGGTTTGCCTGACGCACATTTCATACATGCTGTTAAATGGCTGGAATAGTACTTCGTGAGACCCTAGTTTCTCTTCAACAATGATTATTGTCTGCAGGGATGGGTAGCCTGTAAGGGTTGGTGAGGCAAGGGTTTGAATCCCCACATAGGTACAATGTGAACCTGTTCCTAGTTACCACTCCAGTTATATTTCTGAAATATTACCAAGAGCTGCTTTGACTTGTGTGTCCAATGATGAAATTCCATATTTCTTAACCAGGCTAATGCATTTTTAGAGTGAGACCACTATTTAATAGGGCAATAGATAAGTATATGTGTCAATAAATATAATACGTCAATGTACTATGTGAGTAGTGTTTTACTGACCACAGATGGCGTTTATCAGTGATGGCCTCATCCATATGGTAACACCAGGACAATATTCCATGTTGATGGTGTTGGTTACATAGCATACATGTAGCGATATGCGGCAGGCCTGTTCCTGGCCCTCTCGACAGGCAGACCCCGCTTCACAGAAATTGGTCAACGTTTCCCATAAAGCGATTTGCTGTAGGTCTGTCCCCCTCCCTCTCCACAGACGGACCCGGTTGACGGAAACGGGTCAACGTTTAACGGCAGCGAAATGTGCTTGTAAATAGTTCAGATAGAGCTAGACTGGTCCCTTGCCCTTCGCCTCCTAGCGGCTGCAGTCGAGGAGCGCAAGCGCTCAAGGGCAGCTCCCATTCTCATGATTGTTGCCGAATAAGAAACGTGTTTAGTGTAATAATTATCCCCCGCCCCAACGAAGTTGTAAGGGGATATTAAAATGGGTTTCGTCCGCCCGTGCGTCCCGAAATCGTTTCCGGAGCGTAACTCAAAACCCATTCAATACTTTCTAACAACACTTTGGACACATACTGAACTGGTGCATTTTGGTATTTAGGAATTTTAGACATTTTTATTTTTTACTTTTCCATTGCAACAAGATGGTCTTAGGTTCTATAAGGGTGGTGTTCGTTTCCGGAGCGTAACTCAAAAACCGTTAAATACTTTCTTGCAAACCTTTGCCTGTCTACCTTTCACATACTGAACTGGTGTCTTTTGATATTTAGCACTTTTAGAAATTGATATTTTTTTACGTTTACAAGTTGCATGGATTTAGAAAACAATAAGGATAGGGTCCAATTCCGGATGAAATTTTCCACATCTATCAGACACATGCTGAATTGTTGCCTTTTGCTATTTATGAATTTTAGAAATTTATTTAAGTAATAACAACTCATTACAAATACAGTTACATATTATATCATAAACCGCTGAAGGCAAAACAACACCAGTAATAACTTTTTTAGTGCTGCAATTAGGCCAGTTACAAAAAAGGTCCAGTGAACATAGTTCACAGGAGCTAAAGCCCCTATCTCACATACACGATTTAAGAAATTGCGAACACGATTTAAGGAAAGTTGAAAAATCGTGTTGATTCGTGCTCGACCTTGTGGTTTATGCAAATTTCTTAACCAAACACGACCCTCATACGACCAAAAACGACCCTCATACGACTGAACACGACACTCATACGACCCTCATACGACTGAACACGACACTCATACGACTGAACACGACACTCATACGACCCTCATACGACTGAACACGACACTCATACGACCCTCATACGACTGAACACGACACTCATACGACCCTCATACGACTGAACACGACACTCATACGACCGTCATAAGATATTCACACGATACAACACGATTTAACCACATTTAACACGACCCCAATACGACTGTCATACGACCAAACACGACTGTCATACGACTTAACACGAATCAACACGACCGCCATACGATTAAACCCGAATCATTACGATGTCCATACGACTACAAAAATAAACACGATCTCCATATGACTGAGCAAGACCTTCATACGACATATTTTTGTTTATTTTGGTCACGTGGGTCATGTAGTATATAAGCTGCATTGCAACAGCATTTCTGTGTCAGTCTTCACCATGTTCAACAGCGAACAAGAAGAAGCAGCTTTGGACGAGGAGGATGTTTCCCTTTCGAAGGTTTTGCTTGGAGGAGCTTCCGTTTCGGCCGCCTGACGTTTGGCATGGCTGTAGAATGAGCTTTCACTTTCAGGGGGTTTCCAACGTTCACACTCAGTCACGTGATGAACTCTTCCGGTCGTATGACAAACGTATGTATGTATTTCGTGTTCAGGGGTATGGGAGTCGTATGAAAGGCGTATGAAAGTCGTGTTGAATCGTGTTAAAACGTATGAAGGTCGTATGAGTTTTTTCCCACGCTCCCCAATACGACTGAACGCGACTGAACACGATCTTCATACGACTGAACACGATCTTCATACGATTGAACACGACTGTCATACGACTGAACACGACTTTTCAGTTGGCTTAAATCGTGTTATAAATTTTTGCATTGCATAACACGATTTAAGCCGAGCTGCGACGTCCATACGACCGCGCGCGACCGACCACGACCGAACACGAATGAGTGCGCGACCTTCATACGTTCTATTCGATTTAAGGAAAAACGTTAAATCGTGTTCATTCGGGTTCAGATTCGTGAATGTGTTTCTTCCCACGCTCCCCAACACGACTGAAGGCGACTGAACACGATCTTCATACGATTGAACACGACTGTCATACGACTGAACCCGACTTTTCAGCTCGGCTTAAATCGTGTTATAAATTTTCGCATTGCATAACACGATTTAAGCCGAGCTGCGACGTCCATACGACCGCGCGCGACCGAACACGAATGAACACGAATGAGTGCGCGACCTTCATACGTTCTAATACGATTTAAGGAAAAACGTTAAATCGGGTTCATTCAGGTTCAGATTCGTGAATGTGAGATAGGGGCTTAATGCATTGCACACAACCGGACATGTCATATTGGCGGGGGATATGAGTATTTTCATGCTTGTTTACAGTTAGGAATGTTTTAAACAATACTCATAAGTATTTATGGATTTCATATGTACGCATATCATTATACTGTTTTACACATGTGAGACAAAGATAAAGTATCTTTTAAGAGTTTGGTTACATCTTTCCAACGATTACTCATCCCAATGGCCCATATAATATTGTCAAACCCACAACAAATAAGGCAATGAAGTCATTCGTCACGACTCGCCCCTTCCATCGCTCCTTCCATTACCTGAATGACACAGGTTGGCCACGAATGAGTATCAAGGTTGACTATTTAATATAAGGGACCATATATGTAGATTATATATATTGTTGGTTTTGAGACAAACCTTCACAATTTTGACGGGCGGTTGGGTAGCCTAGTGGTTAAAGCGTTCGCTCTTCACGCCGAAGACCCGGGTTCGATTCCCGACATGGGTACAATGTGTGAAGCCCAATTATGGTGTCCCCCGCCGTGATATTGCTGGAATATTGCTAAAAGCGGCGTAAAAACATACTCACAATTTTGAAATTGTGCACCCCAAGATTGCAATGTTTATGTTTCTAGGTTTGTCAGCACCATACCCGTGCTCGTGGGTTTCACCGAAGTGGTAAACGTCTGAGACATGCATCACTTCGGGCTTTCCTCCCACATTAAGCTGACACGCCGTGATATAACTGGAATAATGTTAAAAGCGGCGTTAAACCCAACTCACTCACTCGCTCACTCTCAGTTGATTTTATCGTATGTTTTAATTTGAAAATATCTTGAATTAGCGATATTCTATCCTAAAAATAAACTGTACTGTATTTACATTCCAAACATGGTAGGGGTCATGTGGTTGCAAATTCATTTCTTAACCCCGTCTTCATTTTTACACAAAACTACCCAGGCACAGATTACTTTTTTACAAACTGTTTCAGGAAGGAGTGATGGTTGAATAGACATAATCAAATTTATAAATAGTTCTTTAAACTTTCTAAATTACATCGGTAAACTTTCTTTTGCCGCTCAGTTTATTTCATTGATATAACGATGTGTCGGCTTAGTACGAAAGGCAAAACGGAACTATATACGCAAAGAAAAAGGTTAAGCACACCCTCATATATTTCATTATTGTTTGGGCCCAATATTTGTAATAGTCATGAAAGATATTATTACGGGAAGAATTATGTTTTCTCGAGATGATGTAATCAGTCATGCGTGACGAAAGCTCACGTGCCATGCATGGTATGCCCGTGAAGCATGCTACCCTCGACGATCTCTAAAAGCAGTAAATCCAAACGTTAAAATTGCTTTCTTAAGCTCGGTTTTTAACAGTTATTCCATGATATTGTGTGACCATGGCGTGAAGGCGATTGTCAAACGTCACAAGATGGCAAATAATCGGCATGCATAATGCAGGACTGTCTTGTAATGCAATTTGTCGGAATTTGGGGTATCATCACACTGTCGTAAGCCGAGAAACATACTCAGACCGGTGATGT